ACTCACTCATTGATATAAATGTTTGGCAACAACCACAACTGCTACAAAAACGTACCATAACTTTTTGGATCCGCGATAACCCATTGGACCCCAGAAAAACTCCCACCTCCATCGTGGGTCCTCACTGGGGGCCGTAAAAAGGCCATGTAGAAAAGGGTTGCGTGGGAGAAAAAAAAACAAGTCCAAAAAACTCGCCATTTTTTATGGTCTCCTAGGGGGTAACTCGTCATTTTGGCACCTTCGGTGAAAATTTCGTCCGCGGGGCTCTCCGAAGCACCGTTTCGGCGCTTGGCCATGCTTTGTAATCAAGTTGTCAAAAACTGTAACATGGGGTATGTTGGAGGAGGTAAATTGTCATTTTGCGACCCTACGGGCGGAAATTTTGTCCGTTTGCGCCTCCGAAGCACCGTTTTCCCACCAGGTCCAGTTTGTCGTCGAATTTAATGAAAATTGCTCAGACGCGCCAATCCGACGGCGAAATACGTCGCTTGCGCTCAAAATAGCATAAAACAAAAGTTGTGGATCCCCCTTTTTCGAAACCACACCACTAAGCAGATGCTATGAATGATGAGAAACTGCGCTTGAAACCGCCCAAACACAAAGACCCCCTCCCCAAACCACGCTCTGGGCCCAAGCCTTTCCAAAAGATGTAAAAACTACTACGAAGGAGCATCCCCTCCCCCCTTCCTGACACACACATTCAGACGTCAAACTTCAATAAGCACCACTTTTGGCATGTGTGCACAGTAGGAAAAACAACAACTCCCCCCCTAAAGCTTGACTCAAATCTTTTCGAAACAGAAAAAAACACCTACGTATGAGACCCCCCCCTCCGAGGACAAACACTACTTTCAGACGCCGTTGTCTCTTATTCGGTAAAGCTACAAGGACGACAGTGCAAACATAAAAAGCTTTAAAATTTGAAAAAATTAAAACATCACCATGACATTTTTAAAAACCTTTCAGACGCCACCTTTTGCAAAGAAAAATTTTAACCAACCCCCCTCCCCCCCTCTCTCTCCTTACGCATTACCCAAACCTTTCCAAAACATGAAAAAACAAATACGGAAGAGAAACGAGAACCCCCCTTCCAACCAGGACACTCCCACAACTTACAAATGTCGTCGTCTTTTCGAAAGAAAGGCTGCAAGTGCGAAAGTGCAAATAAGAAATCCTTTAAATCTGAAATAAAAAACTTT